GACGGCTGTGGTCATATGAGAAAAACCTGGACCTTTAGACAGTAATTCGGAGGGGGCCGTTTCACTGAATCAATGTATCGGCTCTCAGAAAGACTGTAAAAGGCCTCGCTCTCTGCAAATCAATCAGATGGATGTCGGAGTAAACATTTAAACCTCCTCTCTGTCTCCACCTCATTCAATACACTTTGTAGGGGGCCTGTCTTTGAAGCGGTCAACGGACAAATATTTGTCAGCGCTCCAGTGCGCTATATGGACAGCGTACAGCTTCCACGCCTATTGCTCTCTCGCCAGATTAGGGTTTTGATTCGAAGTCACCAAAGCTTGTCAACAATGCTGCCTGCGCTGAAATTTAAACCAGTAAACACTTCACAAGCCGCTGAAGCAGAAAAACATGTAAAACTTTCAAACATGTTTAGAATTCAAATCATTGTGATTCAAGCCAGGAGCTGAAGGATGCTATATTGACCAAACATTTGTTTACATAATACAGTGTATACAAGCACATACACATACATATACATTATACACGTGCTGCATATGTGTGTATATATATATATATATATATATATATATATATATACACACAGTGTATATATAGACATAATATGTGTATGTATGTATATGTATAATATTTAAACATTAATTTTGCTATTGTAATAATAATTTATTGTAATATTAATAATGTAATAATTTTTGTTTGCACAGGGAGTCTGACGTGCATCTTGAAAAGCGGACGTTTCGATAAGTGCTACACCAAGTTTTTGTGCCATCTAGTGGTTTAGCGGAAAATAAAATCGAAGGTGCCTTTTACCCCGGGGCGCCTTTAGCCACATTGTACCCCATCTAATTAAAATGGCAAATTATTAACATTACCAATTTTGTTTACCTACAGTTATTATGCAATTTAATTATCAAAGAAGTTGCATTCAGAATAGGGCTGTGCAAAAAATCGAATGCGATTTTCATGCGCATCTCGTCAGTAAAGCCGCTTCTGGTGATTAGTAGTAAATCTCCAGCACGTGCTTTCAGATGGAGCGGCATTTACTACACAGAGCCGTAGTTCACTGACAAGCTACACAAAATCACGTTCAAAATCGGCAATGAATCGCCTGCGAATTTGAACGTGATTTTGTGTAGCTTGTCAGTTCGCATGAAAATCGCATTCGATTTTTTGCCCAGTCCTAATTCAGAATATTCTTAACTTAAAACTCTGAGTGGCCACAGTTTGAATAGACATGAAACAGATGCTGGCAGCCTATGGCACAGTATGAACAGTTGCCCATGCCCCTGAGGGTCAAAGGTCAGTCTCCACAGTAGATCAGAAGTGAACAGCAAAGCTCTGGTTCTGTATGTAATTAACCTTGGTGGTGGGTGTCAAGTGGGGTTTTCAGAAGATGAATCCAGGAGGTCAAACTCATGCCAAGCGATGAAAAATCAATGTAGAGAAGAAACTTCTGACTGTGCTCTAAGAGCTTGACTCTCTCTTTTTCTGTATTTATCTAAAAGCGTAAAACCCCTTGGGTCACTGACTGCTGACACTTAAAGCAATGTTTGAAAAACAGCTTTCAGAGTATTTGCTGAAAATAATCCCCGACATTCACTTTTTCTTTCAGCTCACACAAGCATGAAAGTCTAACTGTGCTTTCCTAAGTACATAATTGTAACTGAGGCAGTATAGACTGAGTTTTTCATGGCTGCTTACCATCTATATATTTAATCATAAAAATGTACACATGTAACATCACAACTCTTTTCAACCATTCCTTCAAAATTAGCTTTAAAACTGGTCACAGACAAGCTTAATTGACCTTACAAGATTGACACAGCACTGATTTGTCTGTCAAACTTACTGTGACATATATGAACCTACTTTCTTTCGACAAATTCCCAGCATCATGATGGTCTTGTTATGGTACATGCCATACAAGATACAAGAGGCTAATTAATGTAGTTTTGTTCATTTGCAGACTCAACCTTTTGTCTTCTAAAGTTATATTTAGTGTTTCAACATAACATTTTTATTAAATTTTTGTTGTGCAAAGATGAACTGCATTTTAAGCAATTTATTCCAAAATCATCTGGTACATCAGTGAGAGATCAAACTCATGAAGACATTTTGTTTGACGGACATAAATAGAGTAACCATGCTTTAAAAGAGGTATGGTTAAGTAAATGTTATACAGTCAATTATTAAAGCTACACTCAAATTTCACTGATTCTCATGTGTATTGTGACTTGACAGTTTAAATCGTGAATAACATTTCAAGATGTTTCTGTGAATAAAGACGTGAATTTTGGTCTGTTTCTCCCTCAAAGCAAGTTCAGAAGTCGTGTGAACCTTTTCTGTCCCTATACTGGAGCCTGAAAGTGTGCATAAACACACATTTTTATTGCATGCTAAAGAAAAAAAATGAGGACAGTGTACACAGTGTACAAGTTTGGAACAACAATGATGAAATTTTCATTTTTGGTTAAACTTTTAAATAGCTTTCACTGGTAATCAAATTAAAAAAACTATGATGCAACACATTGAGATAAAGTGAGCAAAATACTATCTGGCTGCAAGAAAGTGCTTTATTGCACTTCCAAGCCAGATCATTTCTCTGTTGTCCTTTGACTTTCAGTACGAAGTGTTTGTTATTGCAGCTGTAATTTAGTACCACAGGTTTTTTCACGTTGGAGCCAAAAGCACCTTCGGAAGTATCACAACGCCGATGACATTGGTATTTTTTTGGAGGTCTTGTGTCTGACATTGCGGTGTCCCTTTTATATGTACCGGGAACAGATCAATGTTATTGCTTTGACTTTAAGCAACACTGTACTCTCTGCTTTGCTCGTGTATTCTGATATCTATCTGTGATTCAGGGCGACCTCAGATCAAGCCCCACAGTTTCCTGCTTGCCTTGAACTTGTTCACTGGCTAAAATGACAAAGAAATCAGCCCAGACGGATCCAATCCTGGATATTTTTACAGCACCTGTAAGCATGTTCGCTTAGGGGTACAACATGATGCTTAAGATGTGCTTGCGTTTGCGATCTGGGCACGACGCTAAAGAGGAATATTTTGGCTGGAAGTTCCCAAAGGTTTACTGTCCTTTTCAAAGGGCATGTAATACAAGCCAGATTTAGACCTCGCAGGAATTAATATTTTATGAGCGGAGTCGGTTTTTATAGTTATTGACTGCCAAAAAGGTGGTTTTGGGTTAATGGTGAGTTAGGAGGGTCTCGATGTGATTCTTTTTTTGGCTGGGTCTCATTGGACAACCATTGCTGAAGAAATCTGAATTGCCCAAATTACTCAGACTTACCATTTTAAAAGTGGGGGGGACAGCTGTCAGGTGATGTGATCCTCAACGGCCAAACAAATTATGTACATAATGTACAAAGTACATTCATGTTCACATAATAACTTCTATATAGAATACAAATTGGCGTGTTTTAGAGCACCCTAATGGCAATTTTGGGAACATGCCATGATAGCTTACAGGAAGCAAGACAGCTTACATGGACCTATTTTTTGTGGTATCAGACTCAAAAACACTAACTCTAACCCTAATTCAAAAACAACTGCAGGACTTGGGACTTTGAGACCACTGTGGACATCTATACTTTATTTTTATTAAATAAAGATATTTTATGCACAATATTTCTGTTACACTACACTTAAACGATAACTTTTATCCTAATACTTAACAGTTGGACAAAAAAAAAGTGTCTTTAAAAACTATTGGAACACACTGCCTTTACCTATACAACAAATACAGGAAGCAAGACAGCTTACAGGGACCTATTTTTTGTGGTATCAGACTCAAAAACATTAACTCTAACCCTAATTCAAAAACAACTGCAGGACTTGGGACTTTGAGACCACTGTGGACATCTATACTTTATTTTTATTAAATAAAGATATTTTATGCACAATATTTCTGTTACACTACACTTAAACGATAACTTTTATCCTAATACTTAACAGTTGGACAAAAAAAAAGTGTCTTTAAAAACTATTGGAACACACTGCCTTTACCTATACAACAAATTTTATTTAACAATTTGAACATAAAATGAAAATATATATTAATGTTTAATTCCTTAAAACATTGGCAAGTAGTCCCAGTTAAAAAAAACACTGCCTTAAAATAATTCTCTTCTTTCAAGACCTGTATAGATTCTGGAGAGGTCGAGCAACTGCCCTCCCCTCTCTCTCTGTCAGTGGCAGACCAGTTAAAGTTAAGAACATAGTTGTAATGAATTAAAGTAGTCTACTAAAATATGATAAAGTATGATGAGATATCATAAATATTCGGCGCAAAACAACTTTGCTTTATTGGGAAAGGATAATTCTACTCCGGACGCGAGTGGCACGACGCGACAAAAGAACCCAATAATCAGTTATGCTGTCCATATTTGCATTTGCTGATTTACAAGATGATTTACATTTACTCATTTAGCAGACGCTTTTATCCAAAGCGACTTACAAGTAGGAGAGCATATAACACACACTGGATCCAGCGCGAGGTCACATGCCTCGTTCTTAACGCGTTATTTTGTCGCATCACTCACATCCGGTGTAGATGCCCCGTTAGATCAAATCATAACGTAGCAATTTGATCGCGTGATTTGTGTCATCATGACATAACTACGGTGGCCGAGAAGTGCAAAACAAATCACAATTCTGAAAACAAATACGGGGTGTCTATTTACATTTAGTTAAAAGTGGCTGTAAAACATCCGCTCCAGTGGCGCAGATAAATAAGCGTGTGTCGTCGGCTTTTTGACGCGATCGACCCGGGTTCGATCCCGCCTTTTGCCAAACTTTTTTTTTCTCCCTTGCGGTGGGTAAAAACAAAGTGCGGGGGACAGAACAACCTTTTACTAAAAGTGCTGCTACGCCCCTACTCAGACTGTTTGCATTGCACTTCAAAGAACAGACCCATCGCTTTAGTAAAGCTGTGAGCATACTTGGGCAAACAGGGTGGAATCAGAAGAAGAAGCTTTCTTACCTCACTGTTCAAAAAGCAGTAGAACACTGACACAAAAAAGCCCTGTAAAGAGAACAAGAGAATGAGAAATGTACATTTACCAGAAAAAAAAATAAAAATAAACAAAATCTAAATAACAGCATAAAAGTAATAAGTCAGCATAAAACAGGGTTCGCAACCCATTTATCTCAAGTATTTTCAAATGAAATGGGATATTCAGTGGGAATGAATTCAACCCTGCTACAATTATTAGCTGTCAATCATAAATGAATCATTATCAAATCATTTTAATGCTGCTTGTGTCTGGGTTACATTAACAAAACATGAGTGTGTCAAATAGCTGACGCTGAAAGCAAAAGTCTCATTTCTGTGTAACCTTCAAAAGGGAAGTCTGTGCCAATTACATCATCACAGAAATAAAAAAACGTACTCGGTTACTAACGTAACCTTGGTTCCCTGAGATACGGGAACGAGTACTGCGTCTTGCTTAAAGGGTTAGTTCATCTCAAAATGAAAATAGGCTGCGTTTCACTCACCCCAGAGCCATCCTAGGTGTATATGACGTTCTTCTTTCAGACGAATCCATTCGGAGTTATATTAAAAATTGTCTTTGATCTTTCTAGCTCTATCGTTGTACTCAGCGGGTGTTGCATTCTTTCGGTTCAAAAGACGTGAAATAAAAAGCACCCTTCCACAAAAAAAGTGTCTCACACGGCTCCGGGGGGTGAACAAAGGCCTCCTGTAGCGAATCGATGCGTTTTTGTAAGAAAAATATCCATATTCAAAACGTGATAATCACTTTAATCTAGCTTGCGCCAACAGTTACACACAGAAGCAGTTCTGGGGGGATGACGTATGAGGTCAGCGCTGCGCATGCTGGTGAGTCTCGTGAAAACCAACGTTTGTTTACAGGATCAAAAGAAGCAAAGTTTTCTTACTTTAGCAAAGGAAAACAAGTCTCCTCTTGGCTTATATCGAAATCCTCCGACATTCTTCTTTACAAATCCTCGTTTTGTACTTCTAATTAGTGATCGCTGTTTTGATTTGGTCTCTCCGCGTGCGTCACTTCTGAGCCGCGCATGCGCAAATCTGACCTCATACGTCATCCCCCCCGAACTGCTTCCGTTTTACAACAGGGGGCGCAAGCTAGATTCAAGTGATTATTACGTTTTGAATATGGATATTT